ACTATAGGGAGACGAGGACAGAAGCAGAGAGACCCTTTAGGAGACCATTTCCATAATCCAGGAGAGAGACCATGACAGATAGACCAGATTGGTAGCCATGTAACTATGGGGAGAAGTGGTTGGGTTCTGGGTATATTCTGAAGGTAGAGCCAAAGGGATCTGCCAACAGATGGATCTGCCAACAGATGTGTGTGAGAGAGAGTGAGCACAATTAAGGCTGACTCTAAAGGTTTTGGGCCTGAGAAACTAGAAAAATGGAATTGTTGTATACTGATGTGGATGGGGAAAATGGGGATAAAGAAGTTAGACGGGTACATCAGGAGCTCAGTTTTGGAATATGAGGTTTGAAATGCCAATTGGATGTCCAGATGGAGATGTCAAGTAAGTTGAATGTACACTATATGCAAGCCTGGAATTTGGGGAGAAGTTTAAAGTGAGGGTAAGCTGGAGATTGAGAGTTGTCAGCCTCTAGATGGGACTAAATCTCACCCATGGGACTGGATGAGATCATCAAAGCAGCAAGTGTAGATACAAAAGGAAGCTCAAAGATTGAGCCCTGTTGCTCCAACATTTCAAGAATGGAAAGATGAGAACGAACCAGCAAGGGAGACTAGAAGCAGAAGCTGGAGAGGTAGAAGGAAAACGAGGGCAGTGTGGTTTCTGGAAGCAAATTAAAGAGGGGTTTCAGGACCAGCTGTATGAAATACTGCTGATGGGTCAAGTAAAGTCAAGTCTGCAGATTGACCTCAGGACTCAGCACAGTGGCAGTCATTGGTGACCTTGATAAGGGCAGTTTTGCACGGGGCAGTCTGTTAAAGCCTGTCTGCAGAATGGGAGGAAAGAGCTTGATGACAGCGAGTCTGTACCCTGAAGTTTTTGCTGAGTAGGTAAGGAGAAAAATGGTGTTTGGAGGGGAAAGGGGGGTGGTGGTCAAGAGACATTTTTTTTAAGCAAGAGGAAGTAACAGATGTTGGTATGCCAATGGGAATGATCTAGTAGGGAGAGAAAAACTGATGATGCAGGAGAGGTGGGAGGCTTGCTGGGGTGATGGCCCGTGTAGGTAAGTGGATGGAGTGCAGTGCCCAAGTGGAAAGGCTGTGTTTGGCCAGGACCACAGACATTTCACCCACAGCAACAGGGGAGAAAAGCAGGGACACATGCAGGTAGGTAGGTGAATGAAGCATGGGAGCTTGTGGGAATTACATGTTTATTTTAATAGGTATTAGGTAAAATAACTAGTGCATCCAACCTGTCATTTCATGGATGCTATTGCAAAGTGGAGAAAAAAGATTAAGTGAAAAATAGCCGGGAGGTATGCAGATAAAGCACAAATGAAGATCACATTTCAGTGACTGAATTTTGGGATAGAGGAGGTTATTCTTACTTTCTTTCTGGGTAAGAAATAAGGGTCTGAGCTACGGAATGGCTGTGGAGGCAGAGAGAAGGAACAGATATGAATGAAAATCAAGAGGTAGTGTTGAGAAGATTTGGTTTTAGCCACGGGGAGTGATGAAGGGCTCTCTTTTCCAGTGTGGGGCTGACTAAATGGGATTCCCAGACACAGTGATGGGGCGCCCTCAAGAAAGAGGAGCAGGTCTAGGGCAGAGACTTTATTCTTTTGGATGCAGAGACAAGAGAAAGGTTTGAGGCACAGCTGGCTTCCCAAGCCTTCACTGAGGCTTCCCAAGAACCAGGGCCCACTGGACATGGTGATGGAGACCTGATTCAATCCAGTGAGGCAGATGAGGGGAGCCCTGCTCTGGGAGAGCCCCTGCTCCGAGGTACTAAAAGCATTCAGACAGTGCGACAGGAGGGCTGATGCTGCGGGCAATGAAAGCTTCCTGAAGAAGGTGACTTTGAAGGTCTATGGGATGGTGGCAGATGAAGGAGAGAGAGCACAGTCTGTGCGGGGGAATGGGTAGGGAGCATGTGGGGTGTGCAGGCAAGGTGGAAGGCTGGAATGCTTTGCTTATGGTCGGAGTCTTTGGCTTCACCTTGGTGGGCATCACCAGGAACGCCAGTGGAGGTGTGTGGTGGGGAAGCTCTGAGGTTAATCTGGAACTGGATCTAGGAGGGGTCTGGAATGGGGCTGGTTGGGGGGAGCAGGCTTAGTTTGGGGCAGAGAGCCCCCAACTCCGCTGATTGCCCTCATGGTCTTTCCCAATACCCACAGGCAACAGGACTTGTACCGAATCCTGAAGGCCTACACGATCTACCGGCCCGATGAGGGCTACTGCCAGGCCCAGGCCCCAGTGGCCGCCGTGCTGCTCATGCACATGCCTGCTGAGGTCAGCATACCCTGGTCCTGGCTGGGGAGGGCCTGGGAGGACCTTGGCCTACGGTGGTGATGGGGGAGCACTCTACTCCCTGTTTCTCAGGTCCCATCCCCCCGCCCCTTGTTCTTGCCCTCCTCAGCAAGCTTTTTGGTGCCTGGTGCAGATCTGCGACAAGTACCTCCCCGGTTACTACAGTGCAGGGCTGGTGAGTGTCTGAAGGCTGGGTGCACCCAAGGCTGCAGGGAAGTCCTTGTCCTGCCCCACCTGCTGCCCTTTTGTCCCTTTGCTCTGGGCCTCTCCCACTGAGGTGAGGATCCCCTCCTAGGGACAGTGCTACCCCACGGGGGCCACCGTAGGACTCTTCTCATGGCCTCTCCCACCTGCAGGAGGCCATTCAGCTGGATGGAGAAATCTTTTTCGCGCTGCTGCGCCGGGCCTCTCCGCTGGCACACCGGCACCTGCGGCGGCAGCGCATTGACCCCGTGCTCTACATGACCGAGTGGTTCATGTGCATCTTTGCCCGCACCCTGCCCTGGGCGTCAGTGCTGCGTGTCTGGGATATGTTCTTCTGTGAAGGTACTCTGGAGCCACTCAGGCCATGAGGGGTCTGGGGTTTCCACAGTGGCTGCCAGAGAGGGGCCTGCTGCCAGAAGGTACGTCTGAGGCCTAGGCTTCCCTGTCTGCAGTCCGGGGGCTGGAGAAACTGGGGCCTGGTCTTGGCTCTGCCATCATTCCGGAGCCCACTCTCCCTCCCAGGAGTCTGAAACCCATGGCAGCTTATTTCCCTCCGTGGGGCCTCCATTTCCTCATCTGTGAGGATGGCAGTAAGACGGGGATAGGGCCTGTGAGTCTCTTCTAAATGGGACAGGCTGAGATCCCAGCCCTGATCTTTTCTGTGCCCTTGCAGGCGTCAAGATCATCTTCCGGGTGGCCCTGGTGCTGCTGCGGCACACGCTGGGCTCGGTGGAGAAGCTGCGCTCCTGCCAGGGCATGTACGAGACCATGGAGCAGCTGCGCAACCTGCCCCCGCAGTGCATGCAGGAGGACTTCCTGGTGCATGAGGTAGGCCGCAGCCTGAGTCCACCCGCACCTGCTTCAGCACGTCTCCGCCCTCCCCTTCACTCTCCCCATTCCTTCTCGGTCTAGGTGACCACCCTCCCGGTGACAGAAGCACTGATTGAGCGAGAGAACACGGCCCAGCTCAAGAAGTGGCGGGAAACCCGGGGGGAGCTGCAGTATCGGCCCTCTCGGCGACTACACGGCTCCCGGGCCATCCATGAGGAGCGGCGGCGGCAGCAGCCACCCCTGGGCCCCTCCTCCAGCCTTCTTAGCCTCCCTGGCCTCAAGAGCCGAGGTTCCCGGGCAGCCGGGGGGGCCCCCTCTCCACCCCCTCCTGCCCGCAGGGCCAGCGCTGGACCTGCCCCAGGGCCTGTGGTCACCGCTGAGGGACTGCATCCATCCCTTCCTTCGCCTACTGGCAACAGCACCCCACTGGGTCCCAGCAAGGAGACTCGAAAGCAGGAGAAGGAGCGGCAGAAACAGGAAAAGGAACGTGAGAAGGAACGGCAGAAACAGGAGAAGGAACGGGAAAAGCAGGAGAAGGAGAGGCAGAAGTGGGAAAAAGAGCAGGAGAAGGAGCGGCAGAAGCAGGAAAAGAAGGCCCAAGGCAGGAAGCTCTCGCTGCGTCGAAAGGCAGATGGGCCCCCGGCCCCCCAGGATGGTGGGGACAGGTCCTCGGCGTCTGAGGCCCGGCAGGATGCTTACTTCTGACATCTGTCTCGGGGCTGGACTGCTCGGCCTCCCTCTTTTTTTTCCTCAGTCAAGAGCAGGCCTGGCCTGGGGTGCTGCCCCGAGCTTCTTGGGCAGGCCGTCACTCTTTCTGGGGAAAGCGGTTTGGCTCCCCATCTCCTTGCCAGCTGCTGATCCCTACACAGCTGGGACAGTGAGTGCACGGGGCAGCTGCCTTTCCTTGGGGCAGCCGTGAACAAATCTGGAGCCCCCTCACCTCCAGTTGGGCCCAGCTGGGGTTTCTGTCACTCCTGCCCCAGTTCCCTCTGGGGTCCTTCCCAGGTGCAGTCCTAATTGGCCTTTTGTCACCTCAGGGGTGACTCGGCGATGGGAATCAGCAGTTTTCAGATTCTTACACCAGTTTCTCCCCTTATCCGTGAGTGGAGCTGGGTTCCTTTTTCCCTTCTGCAGCTCTGCCGGTCTCCCCCTCTTCCTGCCTGGGGGCCGAGGCTCTCCTCGCTCTACTTGTGGACATCTCTCTGTTGTAATTATGTACAGAGGACCTGGTGGGTCCAGGGTGGGGGTGTTCGCTCTGTCTTCTGTCCTTTAGTTCTCCTTCCACAATGTTCTTGCACTCATTTATTTAAGGGGACATGCACTGGAACAGGCCATGTCCCCCCTCTCCCCACCCGCCATCCTCCTTGCTCTTCTTTCCTCTTCACCCACCTTCCTGTGTATTCTCAGGCTTCTGCTTTGTCTCCACCAGGGTCCCCACCTTTCACCTTGTTTCCCCTGCAGCCCCCATCTGGGGAAGGGGTCTTCCCTTGAGCTCCAGGGGGTGGAACCCAATGTTTACATTCTCTTCTGTCTCTGCTCCCACCCTGTGCGGCGCTTTGAGGAACCAGAAAAGAACCTGCTGTTGTACCTGGGCCTGTCTCCCGCTTTGTTATTTGATGATGGGGATTAGAATAAGGACGGGGCAGGGGGTGGGAAACAATGGAGCAGGCCTGGATCTGGGTGTCTCCTGAAGCAGTTGGCTGGTCTTGGCAGGTAAGTACCTCTTGGTCTTTGGTCCATCTTTCAGTCACTCATCAACAGCTGTTGAGCTCCTGCTCCTCCTCTGCCTGGGATCTGCTGCTTCCATTGGGACTGGCCTGGGGCCTTCTACGTACCATCTGCAACACCCGGATCTCCTTCCCAAAGTGCTCGTGCAACTCCTGGAAGCTGTAGGGGGTACTGAGGGTGGCTAGGAAGCCGCAGTCCTCTGGGGGTGAGCTGGGCTCCTTGCCAGCTGCCTGGCACAGCTCCCGGTACCGGGCCTCCAGGGGGGGCAATAGCACCACCAGCCGCCTCCAGCTCGCCCCAGCCAGCGCCCACAGCCAGGCTCCCAGCTCTTCCTGGTTTTCTGCTGCTAGCTTGTAGGCCCGCCCACCTGTGCCCTCAGCCCTGGGGGTCAGGATGGTAAAGGCATAGGGTTCTGTGGCCCCAAGGCGTGGCTCCACCTGGCTGTTTTCCAAGAGAATGAGGCCCAGGGGGGTGTGATCCGCCTGGTTCTCCAGGTAGAAGAGGAGGTTTCCCCGGAGGATGAACCAGCGGCGTTGATAGCTGGTATTTCGGGTTCCCTTCTTTAGCAAGATGCCCTCCCGGTCTGGAGCCTGTGTTCTGCATCCACGGAAGAAACTGAGCACGGGCTTTTGGTGCAGTTTCATGGTAGTCCAATTGGGGAGTAAACCCTGGGGGTCAGGAGAGAGGAGGGTTGGTCCTAGCCCAGTGGGATTTAAGACTCTGTCCTCAAGAGGTAACGGTCTTGTCCCCAAAGCACTGGGACCCACACCTCCCACCTCCCGCTCTGGCCCTTGGGCCAGTTTACAGACCTTGGGCAGGGGACGCTGGCCTGGACCCCTATTTGCCTGCGGCTGTGGTTCGAGAGAGGCACCGTTGCCCTTTTCCAGGCCTACCTGAGATCAGGACACAAGAGACTTCTGGCCTGGGTACCGGGCACAGGTATCACCGTCACCTTTCCGGTGATGGCTCTGCCCACCTCAGAAACCGGGAACTCGCCCAAGGGATAGGCGTGGGGTAAATGACTTCCCCTGGGTCCTAAAGAGAGCTGGGTTCGGTAAGTGCTCCCAGAGCCATCCGGGGCCTCCAGGCGGGCCGTCAGAACCCGGCCTCTCCCCAGGGAGAAGAGCAAGGCCGCACCTAGGAGTAGGACAGGATAGAACTGGACGCTGAAGGGAAAAGCAGGATCCCCAAGGAGGTGGTGAGGGGCGCAAAGCTCTTGGCCAATCCTGGGGAAGGGTGACTCAACCCTGGAGAGGGAAACAGGCCGAAACCCACTGTCCCACTCTGGCCCTCCATCAAGGTCCCGGGTGCCCCTTTAAGTAGAGTGTGCTCCACTTTCTCCCCAGAGCCTCTAACTGCTGTAGGAGGGAGTCGGAATCGCAGCCGGCCATCCCTTTCGTCTGATCAGGGTCTAAGCGTTCATACGTCCCCTGTCCTCGCCATTGTCGCCCACGCTGCTCACGTCACTCTGGGCAGGGCGGCGTGGTCTTCCCCGCTCACGGCGCACTTCCGCCCGTTTCTCCACTTAGTCCTCTAACCCGAGCGAAGCCACTTCCGGCTTTCTCTGGCGCCTTCCGCAGTTCTCTTCTTCCGGGTGGTGGCGGCCGGTGCCCCGGACGTAGCCCCGGTGAAAGCCTCTCTCTTTTTCTTTCCCCTCAGCCTCCCGTAGACCCTTAGGTGAGCGCGCGCTGGTGGGGTCCTCGAATCCCCGCGGTTCTGCCGCCCCTCTGATTTGTATATTTAGCCCGGGACAGTTGGTGGTTACCCCGCGGAGTTGGGAGTTCGGCGCGGGGAGGAGGGGGGCGGCCAGGACGCCAGGTCCTGGGTCCGCCCGGGCCCCGCGGGCTCTGAGGGAGCTGGGGGTGTAGGAGCGGGTGTCAGCCCGCGGAGCCCCGTCGTATCCAGCACTGCGGGGGCCAGGAATGGGGGGTGCGTGTGGGGGGAGCCTGTCTCCTTTCGTCAAGGGTGGGGGTTGCCCGTGGGAAACCTCTCCGCGCGTCCGCCTCTCCGGCCTGTCTCCAGCGACTCTTTTGGACCAAACCAAGTCCCGGGGGCCACCTGGCTGCCAGCTTCCCTTTCGGCCCCTGATTCTGTGCTCCCTCTCCTCCCAAGCTGGATCTAGTGCGTACCAGGTGATAATTTGTTGTGCTGGGGGCCCTTCGGCGGTGAGTAGCCTCGCCCAGTTCCCTTAATCTGCACCCTTTCACCTCGGCTCAGCTTGGGGAAGGCCCCTCTGTGCAGTCATGCCAAAGAGGAAAGTGACCTTCCAAGGCGTAGGAGATGAGGCTGATGAGGATGAAATCAGTGTCCCCAAAAAGAAGGTGAGGGGGCCAGACTCCTGCATTGTGGGGAGGAGTGAGGGGAGGGAAGAGGAACTAGAAGCTAGAAGAGAAAGAAAGCCCGTGGGGACAAAGGACGCGTAGAAAGGGCTAGCTTTTCCATGTTCTCGGGGAAATGGGTTTGGAGAATTTTCAGTCCGAGAAGGCTTTGAAGAAAAACCTACCTAGAGTATTTTGAGGAATCGCCAGTAACCTGCCTCTCTCAACTTGCTGGCTCCTCCTCACAGCTGGTGGATCCTGTGACCGGGGCAGGGGGTCCTGGGAGCCGCTTCAAAGGCAAACACTCTTTGGACAGCGATGAGGAGGATGATGATGAGGAGGGGTCCAGCAAATATGACATCCTGGCCTCAGAGGATGTGGAAGGTGAGCTAAATCCAAGAACTGAGGCTGCTGGAGGAACAGATAGGGCTTCAGGGGATGTGGGGCAAGGAAGGCCTTTGTCTCTTACTGCTTGCTCAGCGTGGGACACCCCTGTGTTCGGTGCAGGTCAGGAAGCAGCCACACTCCCCAGTGAGGGAGGTGTGCGGATCACACCCTTCAACCTGCAGGAAGAGATGGAGGAGGGCCACTTTGACGCCGATGGCAACTACTTCCTGAACCGGGATGCTCAGATCCGAGACAGCTGGCTGGACAACATTGACTGGGTGTGGCCCAGGGGTTGACACGGCTGGGGACCTGGAGGCAGCAAGTGCTGGGCTTGGGCCCTGCTCACTGTTTGTTGGAGATAACACCCCCCTGTTTTCATATCACAGGTGAAGATCAGGGAGCGACCACCTGATCAGCACCCGCCGTCAGACTCAGAGGGAGAGGACAGCCTGGGCCAGACACCAATGAGTGCCCAAGCTCTCCTGGAGGGTCTTCTGGAGCTGCTCTTGCCAAGAGAGACAGTGGCCGGGGCACTGAGGCGTCTGGGGGCCCGAGGAGGAGGAGGAGGCAAAGGGGGCAGCAAGGGGGCTGGGCGGCCTAGTTCCCCCCAGCGCTTGGATCGGCTCTCTGGGTTGGCTGACCAGATGGTGGCCCGGGGCAACCTTGGTGTATATCAGGAGACAAGAGAACGGTTAGCCATGCGGCTGAAGGGGTTGGGGTCCCGGACTCAGGGACCCCCTGAGCCCATGCCCCCACCCACTCTGGACATGTTTGCTGAGGAAGTGGCAGAGGGGGAGCTGGAGACCCCAACCCCTACCCAGAAGGAAGGTAAGATTGGAAGGCAGAGGAGGGGTGATGGGGGCAGGGGGCAGGGCACTTGAGGCCCAGATGGCTTTGCTTGTTGTTTTAGAAGCAGAGTTGCCAGGAGACGGTCTGGTGGATGTGATGTGGGAATATAAGTGGGAGAACACAGGGGATGCTGAGCTTTACGGGCCTTTCACCAGCACCCAGATGCAGGTAAGCCCCTTCCTGCTTCCTTCTGCCGCTGCTCTCCGTCCCCCCACCCGTATCAGATCTCTCCCAGCTCCGCTGTCTTTTTTTTCCTGCAGACCTGGGTGAATGAAGGCTACTTCGCAGATGGTGTTTATTGCCGGAAGCTGGACCCTCCCGGTGGACAGTTCTATAACTCCAAACGCATTGACTTTGACCTCTATACCTGAGCCTGCCGAGGGCCCAGTTTGATGTTTTCTTTCCTGCACTCTCTGGAGGAGGCCCCAGCTGCCTCAGGCAGTGAGGATTTGGGGGGCCATTTTTCATTCAATTTTTCTTTCCCAATAAAAGCCTTTAGTTGTATATTAGGGCCTTGGCTGTGCTGATGGGCAGAAGCCAAGGCCCTTCATAGCCCCTTTGGACTCGCCTCATGAGTGTTTCCTCATGAAGTTCGTTCTTGGGAGTTTCTGGTCACTTGAACCACCTCACCTTTGTTTACCACTCCTGGGGCAGAGCCAGGGCTCCCAGGTGGTCTGTGGCCACCCCACCCGGACTGCTTACCATCTAAAAAATCCCTTTGCTCACATGCTGTTCTCCAGTATTCTCGGAGCAGGCTTCCTATTTTGCTCTTCTTAGGTTTTCAGCTTTTAGAACCTCAGGGTCTTTGCAGCCAATATAAGATAGAGCACCAGAAGTGGAGATTTTAGGCCTCGAAGGGCTAGGACATCTGTTGGGGTGAGTAGTAAGCCTGGTATCCACCGGCTCCCCAGGGGTCTCAAGCTCCTTGGGGGGAACGGCAAACTCAAGGCCCCTCAAGGCCACCTGGGCCAACCATTGAACAGACACAAAGAGGTAGTGCCTCCCTGGAGCTCACACAGTGAAGCAGAGGGCTGGCCCAGACCCAATAGGCTTCTTTCCCGACCTTTTTTGGCACCTTTGAGGCCCTGAAGTTTCCATTTCCTGGGGTCTCACAGTGTGCCTGGTACAGGGCTAGTGCCTTGAAGGAACTGAGCTAGCTAGGAGGTTGATCCTCTTCCAGGAATTGAGATTCTGGGGAGTGGGGTCAGGAGGGAGACAGGCAGGTATAGTTGGACCTAACACCTCCCATCTCTCACCAGTGCCGCCTTAGACCTCTTCTCTTGCACCAGGTGAGGTTGAACCCTCCACTTTTCTATCTCGGCTGTCCATTTGGAGTCTCGGGGGAGCTGTAAAATTACTCCTCGGGTTCTAAATGAATTGGTCTAGGTAGTGGCTTGGTGGTTGGGGTTTTTGAAAGCTCCCAGGGGATTCCAGTGTGCGGGCAGGTGGAGAACTACCGAGCCTGACTCCTGTGACTCGGTTTTGCCTAGAACAAGGGGCCACTCACCGGATCCTGCGGTGGTGGCGGAGCTGAGCACGTGTGGCCACGGCTCTGCTGGAGTCTGTTGCAGGATTGCTGAGCACCAGAGCCCCAGGTGGAAGGGACCAGGCTGGGAAGCAGGAAGACCGGGACAGGGTGGGGATACTTGGTGCCCCAGTGAGGGCTCCAGCTTCTGTAATAATTGGGTCCCTGCAGGCTTGGTGTTCATTGACTCCAGGATGCCTTCGATTGTAACAAGTCTTTTTCTGTTCTTAAGAAAGAAACCCCTGCCAACTACATTTACAGGAGATCATTGATTAAAATGCATCCTCATTGCAGAAATGTTCAGAAGTGAAAAACAATACAGCGGTCCCCTTTATAACCCCAATGACTGACTCATGGGAGGTGCTTAATATTTGGTGAATAGATGAAGGCCAAGGGCACAGTGCCCTCGGATATGCCATTGGTACCTCAGGCTCCGCCTCTCCAGAGCTGACCCTATCTTCCCCTCACAGCATCTTCCTGTGTTCACCGTTTTTTTGTTTGTTGTTGATGTTGAAGTTTTTGAGAGAGAGAGAGAGCTGGGTGGGGAGGAGCAAAGGGAGGAGGAGAGAGAGAATCTTAAACAGGCTCCACGCCCAGTACGGATCCTGATGCAGAGTCCCCAACAGTGGGGCTTGATGTCGGCACCCTGAGCTCATGACCGGAGTTGAAATGAAGGGTCGGAAGCTTAACCCACTGAGCCACCCAGGCGCGCCCCAACCTCTCTGATGACACTGTGTAGGCAGAATAATGGTTCCCCAAAGATATCCATACCCTCAACAGAATCTGAGTATGGGAGCTTATGTGGCAAAAGAGACTTTGCAGGTGTGATTAAATCAATGAGTTGGGGGGAGGGGTTATTCTGGATTATTGAGGTGGGTGGGCCCAATGTCATCACAAGGGTCCTACAAAGTGAAGGGAGTCAGGAGGGTCAAAGAGGGGGAGGTGAAGGTGTTAAAGCTGTTGGCTTTGAAGATGGAAGACAGGGCCATATGCCAAGGAATGCAGTGGCCTATGGAAGCTGGGAAAGGCAAGAAAAAGTCTTCCCAGAGCCACTACAAAATGCAGCCCTACTCAGGATTTGAACCCAGTGAAAACCATTGTGGACTTCTGACCTCTAGAATCCTAATAAAGTTTGTGTTTCAAGCTGCTAAATTTGTGGTTATTTGTTACAGCCCCAGTAGGAAACCTAACATACCCCATTTAGCTGAATGCCTCTCCCCTCCCACAAACATCCCAAAGTTCTCTCTCCCTGTGGCCTTGTCCCTATTTCAAGCCCCTATCAGCATTTAACTCTCTTGCCCTTCTTAAAACAGCATGTATGCGTCTATGTGTACATATGTACATGTATAATTTTTACTTAAGCCTTTTATATTTTACATTTGTAGATTTACAGAAAATGTACAAAAGAGTACAGTGAGCTCAGCCAGTTTCCCTTATTAACAT